ATGGGTTTGGCCTTGGCCAATGGCAGATCTGGCTTGGAGCTGGGGAAGCTTCTAGCAGCTTCTTAGAGGAGTCATCCGTGCAGTGCCCGTGCTACCAGAACCCCTCCACATAACCCAATGCATTATCAGTCAGCACAGAACAGCATCGTTCTTGGCCTGAAGATTTTGGACTCTGTCCCCAAACGTGCTGTTGGCTCCATTACAGATGCATCTGACATTTCAGACCCCTCTGTTCTTAAGAGAAAGCCGATATAGCAGGTTGGCGTATGGAAGAGGAGAACACTCAAGTGTTTGAACATCATAGGTGATGTGCAAATAAAGTCTTTGTGAAGGTCGCCTCCTCTACCAAGAGCTCTGTTTATCTTTTTACAAGTAATGAGAGCATTACTAAAAAAAAAAAAGGGAAAAGTTCACTTTTGTGTTGGTTTCCTATGGCTTTGTCTTGCACTGTTATAGCAGGTGGGCTATTTATATTCATCCTCGTTCCAATTTGTACTATTATGAATTCAACATTGATCTCATAACGAGTGTTACTCCCTGTTTCACATGAGCTGAAAAATGTTACCAAATCTTGCATTAAACGTAATTCCTTGTGGTAGAGCAGTGTCTTTCAAGAGGGTGTCCATAGTTAATGTACAGACTTGGAGGGGTGTGACCAGCCAGTGTGATTCCATTGAATTGGTGGGATCTCTCCTTAGGAGCCTGCATATGAGGGCTTTTCGTGGTAGAAGCTGTACTGGGACACTAAGTCATGAAAATCAGGGGGGAGTGTTAAAATTAAGCAGCATAGATGGGTTGTTTGAGCCTCTGATATCTGCTAGAGAGGACTGAAATGGGTGGGGAGGTCTCGGTATGCCCCAGGACTTCAGTCTCCATGTACTCGGGCATAGTCTTGTTCCTTACACTGTGTTTAGTGTTGGAAGATGAAAGAATTTAGTTTGCCTTCCTTTTTAAAAACAAAGAGCTTTGCCTTAGATTTTTTTTCCCTTTTGTAAAAAGATGTTGCCTTTTCAATCAGTTTAAGCTCCTTTAATTTTGAGTTAATAAGTTAACGTTGTTAACCTTAATTTGTTTTCTGATCATTCAAAGTTAGCATTTAAAATAAGCCTTGGCCTTGGCAGTTTCTTGTTCGCTCTATTCTTAATGGAACGTGAAAGCAGACAGATTATGTACCTTTCCCACTGAAGTTTTTTAATATATAGTATTTATAAGCTCTGCTCTATGCAGTTACTTAATATATGGATTGCATAGTTTCAGCATTGGTCAGCGTGGATAAACAGCTTTTCAGCTGCTGGTAAATACATTCCAGTATTAATACCAGCTGCCAAAGAACAAAACTTCTTGATAGAGTATGGGAGGAAACATTTCATTTTAGGTAAGCTAGCTGCAGTGACAGAGGATAAAAGGATCCCATTTATATAGAGAGTTCTCAGAACACCTAGGATCTGAAGTACTACAGTGAGTTTTGGCATTTGTGTGGATTTTACTGTGCAGTGTGTGATAACTTAAAGCTGCTACGGCTGAGGTGATCTTGATGACACAGGCAGTTTGAATCTTTAGGATGCCCAGAGTTACCTGAATATGCCTGACTGCCCTCTCACTGTCAAGTAACTGGACGCAGTCTCTTCTGCACTGTACAGGAAGATACTGTGTATTGTATAGACTACATAGGCTGCCCATATAGAGTATGGTGTATACATATATCACTCCTCATGGTGAGGAGTGTCTTTATATCTGTTTGGAATTTCCCTTGCTTCATCATGTGACACTTGCCTGTTGACCTTTTCCTGGCCTTGCCTGAGAAGAATCTGCCATCGCCCTTTGTATAACCCCCTGCTACATAGGTGAAGGCAGCAGTGGGCTCCTTTTCTTCTCCACTCTGAACAAACCCAATTCCCTCACCATGTCTTTCCTTCCATGTGCCAGCCTTTTTTCTATTTTAACGGCTTCCTCTGGACATGCTCCAGTTTTCCAGTACCGCCTGTGCTGCATGGCCCAAAACTGTACGGTGCCCTAAATGTGGCCTCACCAGTGCCAAGCAGAAGGGAAGAATGACTTCTCTTGACCTGCTGTTTATGCTGTTGCTTATGCAGCTCAAACTACGGTTAGTTTGTATTGGTTTAAGGGTGCACTGCTGGCTTGTGTTCAACTTGCTGTCTGCTAGAATCTCCAAGTCCTTTTCTGCAGAGCTGCTGCCTGTTCAGACTGCAGCTGCAATGCTGTATTGGGTATTTTCCTTCCTGAATGCAGGACACTACATTTATCTTTGTTTAAAGTTCTTATTGGCCACTTACTGCAGTTTGTTAAGGTCCCTCTGAATGGTGGCCCTGCCTTCCAACATGTTGACTGCTATCTCTGTTTTATATCCTCTCTAAATTTGCTGAGGATGGTTTCTGTCCTAGCATACAAATCAGATAAAGATGGTGCTCGGTGTTGACCACTGAGGAATACTACATCTAACCAGCTGGCAGTTAGATTTACAGTTATTGACCAGAATGCTTTGAACCTCGTTGGCCAAGGAATTTTTCATACTGGAGTACTGCATCCAACTGTGGAGCCCTCAATATCAGAAGGATATTGGCCACGTGGAGCGAGTCCAGAGGAGGCCACGAAGATGATCAGAGGGCTGGAGTACCTCTCCTATGACGAAAGGCTGCGAGAAGTGGGCTTGTTCAGCCTGGAGAAGAGGAGGCTCCGAGGAGACCTCATTGCAGCTTTCCAGTATCTGAAGGGGGCTTACAAGGGTACTGGGAGAGGACTTTTTACAAGAGCCTGTAGTGATAGGACAAGGGGTAATGGGTATAAATTGAAATCAGGGAGGTTTAGATTAGATATCAGGAAGAAATTCTTCACAGAGAGGGTGGTGAGGCACTGGAACAGGTTGCCCAGAGAAGCTGTGGATGCCCCATCCCTGGATGTCTTCAAGGCTGGGCTGGATGTGGCTTTGAGCAACCTGGTCTAGTGCAAGGTGTCCCTGCCCATGGCAGGGGGGTTGGAACTAGATGATCTTTAAGGTCCCTTCCAACCCTAACCATTCTATGATTCTATGATTCTATACACCTTGTTGTCCACCTATTCGGTCCCTGTCACCTCAGTTTGACAACCAGGATGCTATGTTCCATAGTGTTAAAAGCCTTGCTTGAGTCAAAGCAACTTCTAACCACCTATTCTCCCTCAGGGCCACTTATTTCTTCAGAAGGCAGTCAGGTTGGTTATACACGATTTGCCTTTAGAAGTCCGTTGTCTGATCCCAGTCACCTTCATCTACTTTGTGCCTGGAAATAGCTTCCCTTTAGGACTTGCTTTATGTTTTGGACAGCAACTGAAATGAGACCCCCTACTATCTAGTTCCCTGGATCCTATATCCTGCCCTGCTCCCACCTTGCTTTTCTGTTGGGTTTCATTTGGTTTTAAGTTGCCAGTTTCCTGCCATAGGCAATTACCGTGACTTTTCAAATATGATTGCCAGCAGTCTTCAGATGACATCAGCTAGCTTTCTCAGTGCCTTGGATGTTTCCTGTCTGGTCCTGTGTACTTGTGTATGTCCAACTTACCTAAATAGTCTTTTAACTTGATAGCTTCTCTCCCTCAAGCTTTGCTACTACATGCAGAAATTTGGGACTCCTGATAGCCGAACTTACTGGTAAAGATCATGCCCGAGGTGTTGGCTACCTCAACTTTGTTCCTTTCATCACTAGGTTGCTTCCTGATTTAGCAGCTAAATTACACTTTCCCCAGTCTGTCTTCTGCTGATGGTGTACCTGTGGAAGACTTTCTTCTTGCCTTTCACATCATTCTTCAGTATCAACTCCAGACAAACTTTGGCCTCCCTAATTCAGCCTCTGCTTGCCCAGAAAGTGCATCTATATTCTCCAGTTGCCTGTCCGCACCTGCACGTTACCTATGTTTCTGTTTTGATTGAGCTCAGTCAGTGAGGAGTCCCATGTACTCAGCCTGCGTCCTGTTGATCCTGCTGGTTTTCTTGCATGTTGGGAAGGCTCGTTTTTGTGCTCAGAGAAGAGAGTTCAGGGTGATAACTTGGCTGTCATGGGCTCCTCTGTAGCTTCCTAAGGCATTCTGCTCACCATTCTGTGAGCAAGCCCCAACTCCGCTGTTGTGTAATCCAGAGACTTTAGTCTGCTTCTTTCCTTCCTTTCTTTACTCAAGATCCTACACTGCCATTTCACAATTACTGCATCCAAGGCTGCTGCTGGCCGTCGTATGCATGAGCAGCTCTTCCTTGCTGGTGAGCACCAGATCCTGTGCAACCCTTCCCCTAGCAGCCTGCTCAGAGCTAGCATCAAAAATTGCTCCGAGCTCACAAGGGAAATTGCCTGGATATTTCACACCCTGCTATGCTGCCCTTCTAGCAGATGTGTGATTTAAGTCCTCCATCAGAATAAGGAGCTCTGAATATTGGAAAACCAGCCTAGGATGATGATCCATTTATTGTGGTAACTGAAAACAAATTTTCCTTAACCAGTTGTCTTGAACCACAAGAAGCTGCTGCAAAGATGTACATATGATATTTTGATTTTATTGGAATGGAATTTATTTTAATGGAATACTATTCAGTTTGAATTGCTTCTCTAGTGCACTCACAAAAACTAATTCAACAGATATCTGCAGTGTTGCTGATGAGGTAAAATAACCTGGTTCTATATACTATGGATACTTTGGTATTCATAATATTTGTTCACACCAATGAATTTGCAAGTGATCTGAATGATTTTTTTTTTCTTTTCTAAGATTTCCAGTTTTTAATTACCCTGAGACCATTCATGTGCAACTACATGAAATATTGCTTCAGACTGCACTGTAGGGTTGTTGTACATCGAGGCCATGCAAATAACTCTTGCACATACCTGTGTGCCAGAAACAACTCCTCATCCTCTTTCTTTTTTCAGTGACTATTAAGAGAAGATCTTGTCCATTTGTTATTATTGTATTTTGTTTCTTAGTAACTTGTGACAGTGTGCTTCTTAATCTGTTTTAGCTGGAAGATGGGGAAGAAGAGCCGAGTAAAAACTCAGAAGTCAGGAACAGGAGCCACAGCGACAGTATCTCCAAAGGAAATGTTGAATCTAATTAGTGAGTTATTGCAAAGTAAGTTTTGGTTTTATGCTTCTCTGGGAAAAGGGTTGGTGTGCAGACCACTCAAAAATGTTCTCTTGTTGAAGCCAGTGAATTCTATTAATTTCCTTTAAGTGGCCAAGCTTGCTATTTCAGCCTGCTATGATTGTATAGTATGTGTCTCGTAGTATCTACTCTGTTAGTGTGTACCGTTATTGGCTGATTTAGATGTGTAGGTATTGGACAGACCATATTTCTGGCAGCTTTTGACTTTGTATCTCAACACACACATAAATACTGGGTGAGATTAGATTAAAAAAATACCTGGATAATTTGACATTGAAGGTTTGTCAAAAATATTTTTCTTGTAAACCTCAAGAATTGCACTGTTTTCTGTTTATCATTTGAACAGTACTTTGAACTGATACCAGGGTGGAGAAATTAACTGTGGAAAGCAGCAATGTACCTCAATTAACCACACTTGATATTTTTGTCGCTTACATAAAAAAAAAATTGTTGTTGCTGTTTGGAAACTTTTATAGTGCTTAGTTTTTTGCATGGACCAAAGGTTGTTTTACTTGTTGAGGGACTTGGAACTCATCCATTATTTCTGGTAAATATGAAAATTGGAGCGTAATTTCATATGATGATGCTAAAATACTGTTCGCTCTTTCTGCTGTCATTAGTAACTGCACTGAGCTATATTTCTTGTTGAAACACAAGTCCAAATTTTCATATCCTGGACACATCTGAATGTTGCCTTAGAAAAACAGGAATTTTTCTTTTGCATTGCACACAAAAGGGACAAGGAGCTGGCAGAGCAGCTTGATGCTTATGCTACAATTGTCCTCTGATTTGCTTTGAAAATTCTATCTACGTTTCATTTTTGCTAACAAAGATAAGTATCAGCTGTTCTTTTTGTCAAGCTTCCATATTTTATTCAACGCAAAGATTTTTCAAATCAGTTGAGCAAGGTAATCTTCAGCTGTCCACTTGGATTTATGCAGCTTAGATCAAGAAATCCACACACAGGCATTTAGAATATTGTCAGAGACACTGGATATAATCTAAAGCTAAAGCTTGGCTAAGTATTCCTTTGCTTGTCCTTCCAGTACACATGCATCTATGAAAAGAGTATTGACTAGGCAGGGCAAATATATGTACCAGCAAATTTCTCACTTACTTAGGGTAAGGTCCGTGCTCTTATCATCTGCTTTCATTACAGCAAGAATGATGGCAAGCAGGCTAATGTAAACAGACTATTTTGTTTGGGTTATTGAAAACAGACTTTTCAGTTTCTTATCTAAGAGACTATCTACTTAATGGTCTGTCTGTTTACGTTTTTTCTTCTTAGCTTTTTAAACATTTGATATTTCTTAAATCTGAAAGAATATTTTTAAATGAAATAATGTGAGGCAAGTTATACTGTGAAAATTTTAGAAGTATCTAGTAATTACATGTCAAAGAATGGGATATTTATATCAACGGAGATTATGGTGTATACCATGTAAACAGGTTTAAAGGACAAGTAGTACTAAGGTTCAGTTAAAGGTGATGTGAAACCATGACCTTTTCTCTGATGTTAAAATATAAATATATATATATACACACACTTTATTAAAGAAAACGTTTTTGTGTGGCATTTTTATTTCCAGAATGCAGCAGTCCTACCCCAGGTCCTGGCAAGGAATGGGAAGAATATGTACAGATTCGTTCACTTGTTGAGAAAATTCGCAAAAAGCAAAAAGGTAAATGTGAGACCTTGTAAGAAAAGGGTGCCTCAAAGTATTGATTTGCCCAAAGAATTGTCTGATGACAGCTAAAAGAAATATTTTTGTTGTTGTTATATAAATATTATGCAATCCTATTATTTTGGGATTAAAATCTTAAGTCTGTGACATGCAGTTGCTTTTCACACTTGCAAGTGTTTCTGAAATGTTCTGGTGGGCATGACTGCTGGCATTAAGCATTTTAATACTTTAATTCTGAGTGAATATCACAGATAGGTTATCCTGTGATAATGCTGTTTGATAACTAGGAAAAAGATCTTGAGATTGTGGTGAGATGACAATCTGAAGGACTAGAAGTAAAAATCCTTTGAGAATAATAGGCCTTTTTGATTCCTGATTACATAGTCTACCCCTCTGCCTCTATAAATCTGAATACTTTGAATTTAGTTTTATAACTATTTTATTTTAACCTGAACACTTTACTGGACATAGGATCAGTTTTAGCAGTTCAACATCATGACATTAAATTATGACAAAAATACATAAATACACAAAACCTCCCCCATCAGCTAAAAAAATCTATCTGCTATAAATCAAGCACATAATTAAAATAAAGAAATGCTTATAGTACCACAGTTAATATGGAATTTTATTGCAAATTTTCCTAAGTTTAAGGTTATCTTATTTTTCAGATTAGAACAGTATTCTTCTGGTATGTTCTGCAATTACTCACTGTTGTTGATACTTTATTTTCATATTAGCTTTGTTTTTATTTGGAGGTGAGCTCTAAAAAATGCTTTTCCTGTAATTTCAGTGAAATTAACATTTTTATGACTGTTGTCTTTTAAGAACAGAGAAATAACAATTCTTTATTCTCTGATACTTATATGGTGACAGCAAAAAAGCCAGACTGCATTTAAAATGGAGCTTCAGTGGTTCATCTAATTGCTTGAAAAAGTAGAGAAGACTCTACTTAGAGCCTTGAAATGTTCTTTTCATACCTCTTTTTAATAATTTTGACTAACATATGAGAATCTTACTTCATGAAAGGACTTAAATGTCTGAACATCAGTTATTGGCAGAGGGCATATGGAGGAATAAATGATGCTGTTTGAGTGACTGCATCCTGTAGCTCTATAGAGGTGAATTTGATTCACTGCTGTGTGACTTCTATAAATGTATGGTACATGTCCTGGTTTTTAGGATGTATTACATGTGTTACGGTAAAGCGTAATTCAGGTTATCAAGAACGGAGTTAGTGCTGGGGTTGGGCTGTTTGCTGTATCCTTATTCTGTGCCAGGAAGGTCAAAACATTCATGGGGAAAACAGCTGCTGGTAGAAGTGGTAGCATTACTATAACAGTATTATGTTAATAGAGAGAATTTTTTTCCTTGAAAGATGCAAAACCTACTAACCACAGCACTGTTGATGTACAAATGGCTTTTAATGTAACATGTTTACATACACAGTGAATATGAATAGTATGGTGCCTTTCAAAACTATCGCTTAATGGAACATAGTAACGTATACTACACAGTGCACTTGCTTAGTAAAAGCTTTAAACAATTAGCAAAGGAAGTAAAAATTGCTTTTAGGAGCTCTAAGATGTACAAATGAATATATATTGCCTAAAGTATCATACGTTATGCTTTTCTTGAATAGAACACTGGGTGAACTAAAACTATCTTGATTATAGAAAACTTTTAATTTGAAAATGGACTATTTTTATTTTCTAAAATTTTTCCTTGTTTGGTTTATTGGAAAAAATTTAAATAAAGCTATTTTTTCAGTGTAGGTTTTCATCAGTATAGCAATATTTTCTTCAGTATAGAATCAAATTGTTCCTCAGTAGCACTTGTAATTTAAAGGAGCTACTCTTCTCTTTAATGTGGAAAAAGTGTGGGAAGTATTGGACCACATCATACCTGAGGAACAGAGGCAGAGTTTCAGAGAAGCTTACAGAATGATTCCAAATACAAGCTGGATGTTAAAAGCTTCCAGTAGCCTTACACAGTAGTCAATGTTGGAAACCAAAAGAGCGGAGTCCTGGACAACATAAACACCTATCAAGTTCTGTAGAAGCTACGCATCTAGTCTTACGAGCTTTGTGAGGCCTTAGCTCTGAATATATTCCACAGAAAATAGCATACTGAAAGGGGTATAAAATAAAGGTGAAATGCCAGCTTTAAAAAAAAAAAAGCCCAAATAGTGTGTACCACATTCTTGTTGCATTAAAAAAAAAACCTTCATCAATATTGAGTTTCTATACTGCATCATCAAAGACTACAGTTTTAGATGACACTTTCACTTTTATGATAACTGCAGATTTGACTGGTTCTGGGGCTTGAAATGTGTGATTTGGGGGGAGAGGAATATTTCAAATACACTAGTTCTACTTTCTTAAAATCCTTTTAATTTGAAGATGTATTTACCAGCTGTGCTTTACCAAAATATATTTGGGTATAAGCAACTTGCTGATGACCTTTTTTGACTCATAAAATGTCCTGAGCGTTTCAGGGGCATTTGGACACTTTTAATGTGATCTGATACTAGAGTCTGGGTTGAAAAGAACACAGAGGCAGAGAGGTGTGAAAGGAGTTGGCTGAGTGTAGCTGGGAACTATAATGCATAGGTTCAAATCAGATGATGGTAAAGGGGAAAGCTAAGGAATTGCATGAGGCTTGTGATTTCCCCGGTGGACCACGTGGAGAAGGAAATTGTAAAAATTTGGATGAGCTCTGTGATGTCAGGTTGATCAGTCCTTAGTTTAGTAGATCCGTATGCTACACAAAAAAAAAGCTAACTGCCTTGTATGTAGGAGAAGGAGCATGAGATCGGCTTATAATTTCCTGTGCTGATTCAATGAAATTGCAGTTTGCCTCTCAAAATCCTCCTTGTGTCTGTGTTAACATGTTGTGCTGATTGCATTTATCATCAGTATAAAGCTGGGAAGTACTTTCACTCAGCTTATTCAAAAGGGAAAGGGGAAGGGATTCATATTTCATCACAGCCGAGTTTAGGCAGTTGTGTTTTTCAGGTAACTGGTAAGCCAGTTTGGCAGAACATTTAAGTTGATGAAAATTGGGTATGGCGTTTGTATACTACTGAGTAACACTTAATGAAGACTCGTTCTGACTCTGCTACTTCAAAGTAGAACTGCTGTGGGATAGCAGCTTTTTACATGTGCTTTTATATTGAACTTCTTTACCTTTCTAGATCCTCTTATTTCTGCATTTGTTTTTCAATAAATTGTGTCTATAGGCTTGTCTGTTGTCTTTGATGGAAAAAGAGATGACTATTTCCCTGAATTGATAAAGTGGGCAACTGAAAACGGAGCATCCACAGAGGGTTTTGAAATAGCTAACTTTGAAGAGGAGGGGTTTGGTTTGAAAGCAACAAGAGAGATAAAGGTGAGCATGTGAACATTTGACTCAGCTGAGAAAATAATGTTTGGAAGGTAGCTGCAGAGCTCTGAAACATTCACCACCTCCCTTTCCCCCTTTTGACTGCCTATGAAACTGCTGTTCTGAAATTCTTTCAACTTTGCGTCCTTGGGGAATAGAATTATGGATAAAATTGAGTGTTATTTTTTATGACATTTGGGATAGTACTGTGAATTTTTAATGTCTCTCTTTTTTTTTCTCTGTGTTGACTATACTGTTTACATAATCACCAGAATACCCCATTGATAATTCTTCCCTTCCACTTTTTTCTAACTACTTAGTCTCTTCTCTTCTTTCATGTCCCTTCTTTTAAATCTCTGGTCTTTTTGCCTCAGAAAGAGGTATTTGCAGTACTTAATTTTCGGGGGGGCGGGGGTGGGATGGGAGGGTAGGAGAACAAACAAGCCAACCCTAAATTACCTGATAATTGTAAAGAATATCTGTTATGGTAGCATATAGTTACTAAGGCTAGAGCTACTGTTTGATAAAAGTCCTGAACAGTTCTAAAGTAAGAATAAGCAATGTGGAAAAAACTTCTACTGAGAGAAAATATTAAAAGCAATATAATGGATCTGGTAGCTCTGAGGTGGTGTGGACAATCTCCATGTTTGCAGTTCCAAATTGAAGCACTTTGTTTTGTGATCTGTCTTTGGTTTAAGCTTTTTATAATGCAGATTGGAACATTTGGCTACCATTTGCAGTGAAAGAGAAGGAAGAATTTTGATTTTCAAAAACAACATGAAAACCGCCTGTAATTTAAAGACGATGTATATTTGAGACACTTGTCATATCTCAGGTGCTAACTGACCCTCTATGCATTTCTTCATTGTAGGCTGAAGAGTTGTTTCTGTGGGTTCCTAGAAAACTGTTGATGACGGTTGAGTCCGCTAAAAATTCAGTATTGGGTAAGACCTTAAGGAAGTTCTTAAGCAAGAAGTTGATATGTATGGGATCATTCACTAGGGGGCTTTTCTTCTTTAGCTGATCTCCTTTAATACAGGACATGCTTAGCGTGCTGCCCATCAGGTTTGGAATACCTAGCAGTTTGAATTGCCAGTGGAAATAATTTAACTTTCCTCTGTTTCTGGCTGAGTGCACTAGGTATCTTCCAGAAGTGTGTATGTTATTTTTGAACAGACATCACGTAGCTTGTGTAGCACTTGGAGAGAAAATGGTTTAAGGTACTGAGAGTATTGTTCCGTCTTCTGTCTTGCAATTGTACATGAGGTGTTTACTCTGTCACATAACTTACAGCATAGTACAATGTGGGCAGCTAAATATTTAAATATATTTCTATTATAAATGGAAACCTGAAAAGCTTTTTTTTAATCTTGAAAGTTCTTACATATTCTTTCATCATGTTCATTTAAGTAAATCTAGGATGATGTTTTCCGTGGACAATTAATTTAGTGCCTCACCTTTCTGGTTTAATTCAGGATCCCTGTATTCTCAAGATCGAATTCTTCAAGCCATGGGCAATATAACATTGGCATTCCATCTTCTTTGTGAGCGAGCCAACCCCAACTCCTTCTGGCTGCCCTACATCCAGACTCTCCCCAGTGAATATGACACTCCTCTCTATTTTGAAGAAGATGAAGTGCAGTATCTTCAATCAACTCAGGCCATACATGATGTTTTCAGCCAATATAAAAATACGGCTCGGCAGTATGCCTACTTCTACAAAGTTATTCAGGTAAGCATCTTAAAGGTAGTATATAGTATATGTTGTTCTCATGATGATTGAGGAAGGTGTGAAAACAGTGATGCTAAATAATGGTGTATTGCTCTTAAAGGTTTGAATCATTAAAGCAATTTTCTATTGTTTTTTTGGACTGCTGTTTAAAATTTTACAGTTCAGTAGGCTTATGAATATATAAGAATGTATTCAGTTGGGCTAGAGGAGTGATTACTGCCATTTGTTTGGCATTGAGTGAGGTTTCATCTGGAATACTGTACAGTTCTGGCCCCACCAGTGCAAGAGAGATGTTTACGAACTGGAATGAGATCAGAGGAGAGCTATTAAGATGTCATTTGCTTCGTCCCTTTATCCATACAAGGGAAGACTGAGGGAGTTGGATTTGTTTATTCTGGGGAAAACGAGACAAGGGATGATCCAATTATTGTTTTCAACTTGCTACTGGTAGCCAGACTCCAGAAATTTGCCTGTGGGAAGCTGGGCTAGATGACCTGCAGAGTTCTACAACCTGTGCCTCTCTGACTTTTTGAAAAATGTATAGTTTGCTGTAAACAAAGTAAAAATATAATTGTTAATTGACTTAGACTAAAACCATTGCATATGTTGTATTTCCAATGACTGTGGATTAACTGTTGTTTTCTGTGCTATTTAACATAACTATTTTGTTTGCTTTCAAATACAGAGAGAAACCCACGTGGTAATGATTTGAGTATGGGGAGGCTTGAAATAGGTGTCTCATGAGTTCACAAGATGGGTGTCTCATCTTGTTCCAAAGTAATGATTTAAATTGAGTTTCTAAGATAGAAACCCACTGATGTCTGGACATCACTGATGTTGTATGTGAATGGTGCTGTGTTGTTGTCGAGGTAGTGCTCTGTCCAAACATCCAAAACTTTGTGGCACAATCTGTGTAAAAAGCATATGACTCTATGTACTGAATTGGCGATCTAGAGACTTTTTTTGCTACAGGAGAGATCAGAAGACATAAAGCAATTCTATGCTTTTCCAAAGCTTTTCTATTAACTGTTTTAAGTCAACAAAAGTTAAATTACTTTGCTTATTTGTTTAGTGTTTGAAGACCTTGGTATGTTTCAAACACAATGTCAATTTACCGAGTATAAGGAACAGAGGGATAAATTTTGACAATGAAAGTCATTGTAAATACTGGGTGAAAAGCAAGTAAGATGCACTTCATTCTGAGGCAAGGAGTAAGGTAGGAATAATGGTTTTAATGTCAGGAAGGAATAAAATTCTTCCTTCCAGGTGTCACAATTGAGGAAATGGTAGTTTAGCCAACTCTCTGCTTGCCCTGTGCTATTCTAGGCTGCCAGTCCGCACACAACCTTCCAGCTTTTAACTTTTTTCTCAAAATACACAGCCTGAGCAAACAGAACTCCTAAATTTTATTTCTCTTGAATGTATTTTTACCCCTAAATGGTCTACTGTTTTTAGAGAGTTATTAGCAGAATATAGTTTAATGGTTGGCTTGATGATCTTAAAGGTCTTTTCCAACTTAAAATTTCTGTTACTCTATATAATGTAATATTATCCAATTCTTCCAATTGCTATTCATGCTTTTGCAGTACCTATAAAGTTAGATCAGGTAGGAATAATTTGTTTTATTTACTTGTTCTTTGAAGAATGAGTGGTAACAAATATCAGGTGAATTTTAGGGGTGTTCTGGTTGTTTGGTGCCATGCTTCAGCATTGCCACGTAACCACAGTTTCAGCTGAATGTTTCTTTGGTATTCAGTAAATGTCACATTACAAAGATACAATTTCATCTGGCTCCAGGAGTGCCAAGTGAATGTACTAGGTACCTATTATTCATGATTTTAATGAAAACTCATGGAAAAGTTTGAAAAATTTTTGATTCCTGTTTCTGCTGTCAGAAATAAGAGTTTGTAATTTATGAAATGGTAGAGAAAAAGAAGTTCATTAAAAAAAAAAAACCAAACCAATAAAAAAAACCCCTCTTCCCTAAAACAAAGCACCATTTTTCATTATTTCGAAAAGCTGAAATGAATTTTAGTATCATCCTGCATTTACTCATATCATTCTATGAACAAAGTTGACTTATAAAATGCTAGCACTAAGGGTAATGTTTTGGAAATTCATGAGCATATGGAAAAGGAAAGAGAGGTGGGGAGAGAAAAATTCATCATATAAATGAAAAAAGCAAAGCAAACCCACTTTCCAAGGAAAGGCGATGTACTCTGCAAGCCTTATGAAAGTGAAAGTTAGATTTTTGTATACCATCATTTCATTCAGTACTACTACTGCTTTAGCTAAGCATTTTAATGAAAGCTGGCCTATGTGACCAGGATTTTGATACTGCTTCACGTGCACAGACTGACTTTTTTTAATTTACAAATACATTTTCTGTAATATAAATCTTAGAACTGTATTTATTTTCTTGATAGCTGTTCTACTGCAGAAACTAATAAGTAGCATCTTAAAATAAAAGATGTTTCATTGGGATTTAAAGACACTGAAAAAGGGAATGTTTTGTGCAGGCAAAATATTTTAATTACTTTCCAGCATTTTTAGACTGCAAAATGTTTCTAATGGCTGGGGAAATAAAAGGGTTAACAAATAATTTATTCAAATGCTTCATTTTCTTTCCAAATGGGATTGCTGGACTGTTATTAAAATAATTTGGCTTCTGATAGGTGTGCAATTTTAAACAGTTTGACAAGTGCTGGTCTGTTTTATTTCCCTAGCTTCTCCATAAGGGTGGCTTTCTCAGAATGCTGCAGTTCTCTTTCTCCAAGTGCTTAGTCTGGATACACATGAAGAATGGGCAGATTTATGCATTTCACAGCTGTTGCAAGCTAAACTGTAGTCTGGTTTGATAAGCAGAAACAGGTGGGATGTTGAACAGACAAAAATAAACCCTTGAGCGTGTCAGCCAGGCTCTATAAACCACACTGACACCTTTCTAAACATATGTAAATTGATCACTAAAAAATAGTTAAAGTTCTTACAGATGTACTTTAAAGGTGTATTTGGACTCCGCATTGCTATCAAAATGCAGCAAATGGTCAAAAAAAGTACTTTCATTGCAGCAGACTTGTAGTTTGCAAGATGTTTTTGTAAAGGGCTTTTTTGTAGCTTTCTTTTTTGGTAGCTCCAAAGAGAAGTTTTGTGAACTGCTGGATTTTCTTTTCCCCTGGAAGGTATGCGTGTGACTTCCATTAACATTTATGGGCATTGCATGCCTACTGAGGGGTGAACAGAGCCCAGATATTTATGGCTTAATGTTACTTTTTTTTTTGTACACTGAAATGTGGTATAATAAGCACAAGAGGGAGCCATATAGTTTACAGACATTCACAGTGAGACTATATTCCTAGAGAAAATACAACCAAGTTTGAACCTTTTTTACAAGAATATGCAGTGATCTTCATGTTTCAATTTCAGTTGCACCTGGGTGCCTGTTTGTAGTCTACTACAAAGGAGTTTTTGAAACTCAAAAGCAGACATCAAGACAAGGAATGCCCTAGAGAAGGGCCCCAGCTCTTTACATTTTGCATGCATTGGGTCTGAAGCAGTGTTGTATCTCTTCCTCAGTTATAGCAAAGGCTGTTATTAGCTGCCTTACTAAAAGACATGTTTATGATAATTGTAGTGAACTTAAAATATCTTAAGTGGTAGCTCTGAAAGTAGCAGAGCCCATCAGGTAGCCGTAGCTTTTCCATGGTAGCCAGCTGTATGCATTCAGTGGCACTCTGGGGCTAAGTAGTATCTGTGTGTAGCTGCCTCTCATGCACTGGAAAGGGGATCAGTTTTGTGGGACTGTCCAGGATGGCGATTTAGGCAGTGCTTTTAGCCTGTAGTCTCTGGACCACTGTGGGAATGCAGATTTTTCTGAAGGGCACCAGCAAACTATGTGTATGTAAAAAAAAAAAAAAAAAACCAAAAACAAAACCTACCGGTGACATTGTAGGGGGCATCTGCTATAGACCGCCTGATCAGAAGGAAGGAAGGAGAGGATGAGGCCTTCTACAGGCAGCTAGAAATAGCCTCACGTTTGCAGGCCCTGGTTCTCATGGAGGACCTCGACTGGCCCAGTATCTCTTAAAGGGACAACATTGCAGGGCACAAGCACTCCAGGAGGTGTGTGGAGAGCGTTGGTGACAACTTCCACACCCAAGGAATAGAGGCACCAGCAAACTATGTGTATGTAAAAAAAAAAAACAAAAACAAAAACAAACAAAAAAAAAACAACAACACAAAAACAAAACCTACCGGTGACATTGTAGGGGGCATCTGCTATAGACCGCCTGATCAGAAGGAAGGAAGGAGAGGATGAGGCCTTCTACAGGCAGCTAGAAATAGCCTCACGTTTGCAGGCCCTGGTTCTCATGGAGGACCTCGACTGGCCCAGTATCTCTTAAAGGGACAACATTGCAGGGCACAAGCACTCCAGGAGGTGTGTGGAGAGCGTGGGTATCAACTCCCACACCCAAGGAATAGAGGAGCCAATGAGGAGAGGTGCCACTCACATTCACGGACCTCATACTTACAAACAAGGAAAGGGTTTGTTGGGGATGTGAAGGCCAAAGACAGCCTTGGCTGCAGTAACCAAGAGATGGGGGAGTTGAGGATACTGAGAGGAGGGACCAGGACAAAAAGCAAGGTCACAATGCTGGACTTCAGCAGAGCAGTATTGGCCTCTTCGCAGATCTGCTTGGGAGAGTTCTGTGTGATAAGGCTCTGGAGGGATGCCCAATATTCAAGGATCACCTCCTCCAAGTTCAAGAGCAGTCCATCTCAATGAGCCACAGGTCAGGCAAAAATACCAGGCGGCCTGTGTGAATGAACAAGGAGCTCCTGGCAAAACTCAAACACAAAAAGGAAGCATACAGAGGGTGTAAGCAAGGGACAGGTAACCTGGGAGGAATACAGAGACATTGTCCAGTCATCCAGGATTGAGGTTGGGATAGCTAAAGCCCAGCAG